CACGTGGTCTTGTAATCAGCAGCCAGTGCCGGTGAAATGCCGCCATAAAGCGCAACGTAGTATTAATGCACGGCTTAAATTGACTGCCTCCAAGCGAGCGCGTCCGATGCTCACAGTGTCCCAAAAAAACTGTGCTCCTCGATAGACAAAACAAGTGGCACAACGCTTGGCAACAATAAGCAATTGCCTCATTTTAAAGAAACTACTAACTAACTTATAAACTAATCTATTTCTCATTTTATCATATTCTTTCGTTCCACCAGTTTCAAATAAACAGGCAGCTAACGATAAAACAATACCACCAACATGGTTTTGGCGTCAGACGCGTATAATACACAAAGTTTAAACAACTATATATTTCACAGATAAAGCAGCTTTATCCATATTCATAGGGAAACTATGAAAAATGCATATCGCTCCTCGTTCAATATTTCCATATTAGTTCATTTTCTGCTATCTCGGTTCGCACGTAATCCCTAGATTTCAATAATTCTTGCCTAACGAGCACGCCATTTTTACGGCCGCGACGCATCCGTGCGGCGAGAGTGCGTCGAGCACCGGGCAAGCTCTACCACGGTCCACGCGAGTGGCGTCCATTTTATACGAGCCGGAGAAGATCGTGGCTATTAGTCGCGCCAAGGCCGCGTTTACTCCGATGATTTTCCTCGTCGTTTGTAAGGAGTATCGGCAACGCAGCGATAGATCGTCGCGAGCATGCTTCGCCGCGTAGATCAGTCGAGCCGCGGACGTCGATCCGTGCTCCGTCTAACGCGTGTGCGAAGGATAACGCGACGCTGTTTTGAACGTTCCCATCGGACTGCATTTGAGGTGAGACCCGCGGGCGGTTCTTCTCGCGAGATTCATCGAGCGTCTATTCAACGGCGCGGCCCTATCACAGACACTTCCAAACTCCGACAGCGACTTTCGATTGCTCCGATTGCTCCTCCGACGGTCCTCGTCCCCCGATAATTACGTGTCCCCCGAGAAATTCCGAAAATATACATAAGCGATTCGTCGGGAGTCCGAAGATAACGAAGCCTGAAGAGGGATTACCGATCTGAAACATTTATGTTTATAGCGTAACGTAATTACGCGTCATTATTTAACTACCGAATACCTGTGAAACGAAACGTTCGATGACGGCGCCAGTTAAAACTCACCGTTGTTTGCGTTTCGAGGCTCCGCGACGCGCATTTTGCATCCTCGAAAGGTCTCGATGCAGTTGTACCTCGACGCGCTCGAATGAGTTTTTCGGAACTCGTTGGTCGGTCGTTTTCCTGGGGATTTCGTAAATTAAAGAGGCATATATTCCGGTCAGTGGGACAAGTTAACAGGAAAGTAAGTCTTCTCGCTTGTTTATTCTTTACCGTGTGCTCGTAGATAATTGAATGGCGGCGGTACACGCAAAGTAAACGGCAACGTGTAACGATGCACGCAATGCACGCATAAATAGCGTTACATTTACGAGACAATGTAGAGTGCACGAGTACGGGAGCACCGGTGTGCCGCGCCTTAAGTGCTGGAGCAATAATTTATTACGACATCGTAATCCGACGTTTAAAATATTTTTCAACGGTAACGTACAGTTGAACGTCGATCGAGAATCGTAACGAAACGGAGCAACCGATAGTAGACAACGGGGAACGCGCAGAAGTTGATGACCTGCATTGATTATTTTCTCAATACGGTTTCCGAATTCTGGTTTAACGCGACTATTTTAACACGGCCCGTTACGTAACGAGGACTAAACTTTCCGGATACTTTTATCTCGATACCGAGAAATCGAGTGAACGTGTTCCACTTCTCTTCCTCCTCTTGTTTTTCTACACCCGCGCGGCATGTAAACACGCGATTTCGCGCGTTGCCGCGGCCATATTTCATTCGTACCGTGAAAGCGGATCGCGCTTGTAAAAAAAAGTGTGCCGTCATGGGTCACGAATCAAATGCTCGCGACGGGCGTGATTATATTACGATAAAGCATAATTGCGTTCCGCGGCGCATCGCCAGATTAACGGGCCCGGGATTCCCGAAGATAATTCTCGGTCGGTTCGCCAGTCTCGTCACGATTTTCTCTAGGTTAATTGTAAATCATCCCAACCGTGGTTGATTATACCCAAGAAATTGAAGGCTTCGCGATTTTCATTGCAATTACCGTGCCCGTGATCATTCGGGACGCGAGTTTTTCTTGTAATACGAAAATACAGACCTTCATTCTTCCTTTGATCAGACTGCACGATGTTTTCTTGCGATTGAATGGTTGATACTGAATTTCGTCTAAATTTATCTTCCATTTTTTTAGAAAAAAACTCTACCGGAATTCCGGTTCTTGACTTCACGTTTCATCTCGGAAGACCCAGAATTTTGTGCAGTTCGTTAATGTTGATTTCATTGAAATCCCTCTGCACAAAGTTCTTCTGCGATTGTTGGAGATAAAGATTCACACAGCGTGTCGCAACACAATAAGCAGTACTCCTTGTTTCTTCTAAATTTCTGCTCACCGACGGGTCGCTCGTCTGAATTCATTTCTGTCTCGATGTTAATCTCCGCTTCGCATCGGTTCTTTTTTCAGCGACCACAACGGAAGAGTTTTTAAACATTAACGCCTGTTTACTTTTTTTGCTCCACCTTGAATATTTCTATAATGCTTCTCAATCTCTTTCCATACTTTACTGTTATTAAACTCGTGGAAGTATATACTGTCAACAATTTGGAAGAAACGCAAAGAAATAAATTGGTAACAGCGACAACAACAATATCGATTTTTATTATACAAGTCTAGAAACGAGATGAAGTAGAAATTAATCCGTCTCGCTGTATACCCGCGCAATAAATCTAATTTCTCTCCAAATGAAAACATTAGATAAGAAAGAAGCATTCGCATCTGCATTTTTCTGATAGAAGGAAAAATGGTCTGACGCGGAATTCCGGGCGGACAGCTGACATTGATAACCGTGTCAATATCAAGTACGTTTCCATTGCAATTGACCGTTTCGTGCGAATTTCCACTGAATCGTCGATGTTCCCATAATAATTGAATTTCGACAATTTGCCTCTAGTTAGGACAGACTTGTAAAAGTCCTTTTTGTTTCGAAATTGTTTACCTGGCGCGATGCGGTCGTTCAATTTGAAAAATGAAGTGGAACGTGGGAAATTGAAGGAGTTGCACTCTGCTTTCTAATGACACTCGTCATAAGTGTCAGTTATCTGAAACCTTCCGTTCATAGTCGACCGTTCGTTCATTCAATTTAAGGAAACGCTCGCTAGAATTTACACCAGTTAACACTTGAACCGGTGACTATGTGCAACAATTACGCTGTTATAGTCTGGAACACGGATAGAGGCGTTATTGATAGAACTCGATAATCCTGTGAGCGAGATAATGTCAAATATTCAATGCCGATGTCAGCTAACCAGGTGTTGCAATGTGAAAAATGTCTATTATCGTTGCACGTACCGATGATAATGTACTCGATACATGATTGATTGAGTAATCCACAGTCTATTACACTTTGAGGACTGCGATAAGCGTTGATAGCTCGAGTTCAGTGTCAACTTGCTGTGTCCTTTTCCAGATATCACTAGATGCTCAAGTGCTCGACATTTGTTTTATCGAACGAAAGGTGAAAAGCCTAAAAATATTCATCCACGAAGACTTGTCTCGAAAAATCTGAATATTTCGATCAATTTGCGTATTTGTACTTGCTCGAGGTTCTTATGTTGTAATTTACCAGAAAATCGTCTTTACGATTCAATGATAGAAACCCTAAATTGGATCGTTTTAAGCCGTTGCAGTGTTAAAAGGGCGACAGTTTGGTCGCTCGAATTATTGGAAACGAAGGCCAGGGAAATGATGGCAGTAGTAGATTCGTCGATCCGAATGAGCGTCTACTTAATCAGTAGTTCCATTTATTAAGTTCAGGCTTGTGCAATCCTAAAAGACAGAGGTTCTGACGGTTCGCCCAAGTGGATGCTGAAAGGAACGTGGAATCGTGCCGCGCAATTAGCAATGAATCACATGCCGCGCATCTAAACGATCGTAGGAGCAGTTGCGTCAAAAGAATTTGCTGTTTTCCTCCTGCGAATCGAGGAATTAACGTCTCGGCATCTCGTGCGCGATACTTTTATTGTCAAACGAACAACATTCGTTATCCACGTGGATAAGGATCGTTTAACGTTTCATTTTTTTTTTCAGCGAAACAATTCAGCGGGGAATCATTAATCTCTTCGCGTTGATAACACTGTTGCACTTGAAATTTTCATTTCAGTGGAGAAGCGAGGGGTGAAACAAAGATGTCCGACCCTCCAGCAGGCAAAGGACCACCAAGTCCCGTGACAATGACGTTTTCATTCCTTACGGATATCCTTTTGATAGCGCCAGTGATATACATACTCACTCTTGCCTTCTCAAAGTACAGTTTCTTCTCCTGGCACCCCATTTGTATGAGCGTCGGTGTAAGTTTACGCAATTAATTAACTAACCCATTGATCGAGCACGAAATTTATAACAGCAACGTTCAAAATTCGCCCAGGAATCTATAGAAGAATAGAGCACAAATAATTTATCTAAAAACCAATTTACTGTAACTGGAATTAAGAATTAGATATTTTAAGTGAAACTAATTGAAAAAATAAAAGAAACGTGACAATAAATGGATTATCTCGATACCAGGAACCGTTTAAGATTCACTAGATGCTCAAGATACTCAAGTACTTGGGATCTCGTGAATCATACAGGTCTCGAGTTAAAGATTTTCTCGTTCAACTGGAGAAACGTGCTCGACGATATGACTTCATTGTTCTTCGTCCATTTAATTAGCCTCAAGGGCATTCCAAATTCTAGAAGACCACAACGTTCAATGCATTCCTCTTCGAATATACTGAACAAACGTAATTCGCCGGTGAAATGCGCAAATCCCGATTTCGTTGCCATTCGTTTGACTTCATCGACTTCCACTTCAGCAAGTCGCGAACTGAAAGAAAAAATTTACGTAACGGTGTCATGTCGAATGCATATAAGAGGAATTTATTGCAGCCACGCGTTGCGAAACGTGTTTATACTAGCAAATGTTTAACCACTACGGACGAGAGGATTTCGCGCGTCTCAAGACAAGGAGAATTTTTCATTACCCGAGGAAGTCTGCCCTCGAATCGTTTGTCTAACTTGGTCTTCCCCGTAGGTCGGCCTTCTGATAATGGAGGCAGTGTTCAGCATTTCCGGCGAGGCGTACATCAGCTCGAAACTCTCGAGGGCCAACCGCGTGACGATGCACTGGGTCCTTCACACGATAGGCCTGAGTCTCGTGTTGATCGGTCTGATCATCATCGTGGTGAACAAGATCGAAAACAACAGACACCATTTCGCCACGCCTCATTCGATACTTGGCCTGATCACCATCATCCTGGCCTTCCTGACGGCCGGCTTCGGCGTCGTCACGAACAATCCGAAATGGCTCTACCCACGGTTCAGGCCGGTCCTCCTAAAGATCATGCACGCGTTCGGCGGCATCGTTGTCACGATCCTCCTGCTCGCTGCTATCATCACTGGCACCTACACCGGCTGGTGGCCGGGCACCGAAACCGGAAGGAGCCTCGTTTTCGCGTCCTTCTTCATCGCTGGCTTCTTCGTCCTGCTGAAACCCGTGTTGGGCGCTGTCTCCAGAAGCAAAGTCGTCTTCGGACCACCCCCTGCCACCACTTAATCGATAATTTAGCTACCAACGGAATTAACAGAATGTCATCGACGTGATTGCTTCGTTTGGAGCTGGTAAAATGGAATTTCGAAACGTAACAGGGAATTAGATAGTGCATATGTTACTTTTGATAAAGCTTGGTCCAGGGATCGTTCGCAGGATGGTCACTGTACTCGGAAGTTATTTACCAGTGAACCAGCGAACGTGAACTTGATTACGTCTTCGATTCCATTAGAGGTGGAAATAATGGATATCGAGCTGAAATTTTAATCCAGTTATTTATGCAATTGATTACTTGCGTTTCCGTAGGCAACTTACACTTATCGTGTCACGTACGATCAGATAAAGTCGTATAGACGATATCGCGGTGACGCTTTCGTTTGCCAAATCACTTTAACTTAATAATACGCTTTTTTTACCATTTCTAAAAATTCTGACGACTTAAAGGTGTAAGGATATTCAGTTTAAGTTTGTTCTTATACGCACGAGATACAGTTCATTTACTTGAATTTAAAACATTCCGTCCTTCAATAGTTGCCCAGAGAAACTGTTTCGAGAATTCAGATTTCGAGATTCAATAATGATTGAAATAGTTGACAACGTTCGTTTCATCGACTTTGCTTCGAACAGTGTCCCTTTTTGTTACCATTATTGTGTTCAACGTACTGTCAACGTGCATCCCAAATGTCGTAACATAATATACCAAAACAAACACTGTCGAAATCATTGATAAAAGGAAAATGTTTTATTAGATTTATTTAAATAGTATTTATAAGAGCGACTGTTAAGGAAAAAGAGAAAAGAAAGAGACTAGAATATATATACATATATGTATTAACACATGTATTGACACATACATATGCATACATAAAATTTACATCATGTATATATCCTCCACAATGCAATGTACGTACATGTATATTAATGCAATTACTTATTTTTCGATATTATATATATACATACTTGACGTGGTTTTTGACTCTTCTTAAGTTTACCATGATCATTGCCAAATATTGAAAACAACGAAATGATTTCTTCATAGGAAACGTTTTATTTTACTGAGAAATGTTTATAACAATTTTTAGTTTACAAAATCAATCGATGAATGATATGTATAAATGTATATACGTATCAACCAGAACACGATCGTAAATAACGAAATGCGATGAGTGATATTTGTCCCTGAGATTGGATTGTAATAATTCTTCAGCGTTGAATATGTTAATGATCACTATATTAAGGCACATCAGTCTTTTGTTGTTTTTTTTTAATACTTTCAACGTCATAACCGTTTGCTTCTTAAACGAGTAACGTGAGTTTCGAATACACTAATATGATGCTTTTTTATAAAATGTTTAAATCCTAAAAATTCAAATATATTTTTAAATATTTTGAAACCATTGGTATTCTGCAATTTGCTTTCGTAATAATAATTAGGAATGTACCTGCAAATAAGTGAAATAATTCTTCTTTTGGTAGAAATAACTTTTCAAGTGTCTCTAACAACTTATCTAAATTGTTTGTCTTTGAATATTCTTGTATCATGTTTGCAAATATCTTATAATTATCCTCCGACAATGAACGCTTTACCTAAAAATATGTTCCACGTGAGACATTTTCTTTTTCTTAGTAAAATAAGTATTTTATAAATAGATATTTACCTCTTTTAGATATGGTTTAACAACAGCTTTCTTATCAGTACTGTCGGCGGGTTCTTCATGTATGTTTTGAGAAGCATTCGTACTGCCTTTTTCTGTTGTACTTACACTCGAAGAAGTGGAAGGAGCAGATAAACATGCATTGAATTCTAATGGTAACACTTTTATCTTTCTTTTTTTTGCAAGGGGTTCAGTGATATCTTTTGTTAGTTCACATGTATTATAATTTTTATCCGCTTTCGATTCGCTGAAATTAATAACAGGTTTAGATTCTGTTGCTAACAGCTCAAAGAAACTTTTTTTCTTCTTTTCATTCGATTTGTTATTCTGTTCATTTTCATTAACATGTGAATAAATACGAATAGTATCTTCCATTGAACGTGTCGTTTCAGATTTCTCTTTTGAAATATTTTGTCCAGCTCGAGTCACAGTTGTATCAAAAGAAGCTGATGTTGCAGGCACCGAAATGCGATTTGCATTCGATTGCATATTTGGTTGTGGTAACTAAAAATAAAATTTTTAATATGATAATACAAATTATAACTCTCAGAAAATGTATTCTATTTTATTATTATTGTTTATTTTCTCAAAATAAGCAGACTTACGGTACGCTCTGCATACTTGAAAAATTCTCGTAGGTCTTTTGTAATTATTCCAAAATTGGTAAATTTTTTAATATAAGGTCTCAACCAAGCGGATAACTGCTTTTTGAAATTTTGATTGTCAAACCTACAATCACAAAATATTATAGCTCCATAATCATTTTTATGCCGTATAATTCGTCCAACAGCTTGATTAACAGCTCGTGATGCCTCAAGCTGATACCACTGTTGACCTGACAAAGCCTAAAATAATCAGCAACAATATGTACGAAATTCCTAATCTATATTTCATGTGTTAAAAGTAAATTGATGTGTTTGTTACTTCTTTGTCATTATTTCTTATCTCTTCCAAATATCGTTGTTTTAATATCACCCTTGGATCTTTTAAAGGTGGAAATGGAAGGCCAGTAATCAAAACAGCTCTACCATTTGCATTAGCAAAATCGAGTCCTTCACTCACTTTTCCTCTACAAACTGCCATAAAAATTGCTCCTTTACAAGAGGGATCTTTAATTTTTTCACAATATTCGTTCATAACATTTGTAAATCCATCCTTGCGTTGTGGTTCCACATAAATGGACTAGTAAATGTAAATAAATAATTATTACATCTATAAATGTACGAAACGAGGTCATGTCTGAATTTTCAAGATAATTACTTTACGATCTGCGATTTTTGTCCACAAACCTGTATTTTGCCATTCGTCTTTACATTTGTGCATTATTGGATATGAAGGAAAGAAAACTAACAAACCATGAGGTATTAAACAACTAAAATTAAGTATCGTTCGGCCAAGAGACGCTATATATTTTGGATCATTCCTAAAAACATAATATAATTTAAATAATATGTTATACACAAGTCATGTGATAGCATCTGTAATATGATTACCTTGTGTTAAAAGAAGAATTTAATGTATAATTATCTGGTCCTTGGCTAAGAACACCTACACAGACTTGGTCCCCTTTAACTATATGTGGATTTTCCAATTGAACATCAATTGGTATCCCAAGTTCAGATATAAATGGTTTTAATGGAGATAATGTGCCACTTGTTAAAACTATTGAACGTACACCTTGGTCGATTAACTGTTGCATACTTCATAAAAAGAAATATATATATACATATATATAAATGTACAATACATTTTCATTACTGTAGATACAAGAATAAAAAATTAAATATTGCCTTCACCTAAATCCTGGACTAAAACACCAATAACTAATAATTTTGCCTTCATTTTTTGGAACTTTTTTCTTTGTTTCCCAAACGTCCTTTTTATTATTTTTTTTCTGTTCCTCCACTTGAATATACACTTTATAACATTGCTTGATTTTTTCTCTATAGCGTATACTGTTACCATTATTAAATACTACTCTTAACAGATCACTGAATTTTTGGAGTGCATTACCTTTCCTTGCGAATGGAGAGGTACTTGTAGTTGTTAAGTAAAGAACAATTTTTTCTAGCTTCTCTATCACTAGCTGTTCCTTGCCATGTGTTATTTGAGCTTTTTCAAGTAATTCAAAGATATAGCCACCAGGATGTGTGTCTCCCTCATCGCGCTTTATGATTTTTATAGCATCAATTGCTTTTTCTAGTTCCATAAACATTGTTTTTAGAATACATAAATCATCAGCAGTAAAATCTTTTTGTATATTTCCAGAATTTTCTGTTAAGAAGTCATTTTCTTGAGTATTATTAGCCATGTCTTGCATTACTCCTGTTATTTCATCAATACACATTGCAACATCTGTACTACATATCTAAACAAATATTATGATACATCAGTTCTATAAAATGATTCTTTTCAGATATCAGATTAGTAATTAATACCTGTAATGATGCTGCCTCCTCACATGTTTTTTCAACATTATGTGCTTCATCTAAGAGAATAATCTGGTTCTGCAAATCTATGCCTTGGGATTTTCTTGCTTTTGCATCTATTAAGTAGTTATATGGCATGAAAGTGATATCTGAATTCTGTTTAAGTTCCCTAGATAAAAAATATGGGCAACATTTATATTTTTGACCAGCTTTCACTAAATCTTCTATATCTAGTACTTCCTGTTTAAAAAAGGGATCATCCTTCCTAAAAAATGAAGTTTCAATTAAATTTTTGAGATTATGAATGTATTATGTATTTCAGGTATGTAAAAATTTTACCTTGTTTCAACATTATTATAATAAAAACATGTTCTAGATTTTACTTTAGAGTGACACATATGTATCTTATTAGAAGAATTAATTTCTTTGGAAACTTCTGGGTGAATACAAAGCTGATCTCTGGATCCTAATACAGCTGTGCTCACATGTTTATAAGCGGTTCTTTTCAATTCTTGCATTGCTTGTGACAATTGTGAATGCGTCCTAGATGCATAGATAATTTTTGGGGCAGCCCAATTAAAACTTGGGGAAGGTTCTGAATCACCTGTAGCTCCTTTAAGTTCATTATTTAATTTATTGAAAAAATGTCCACCAAAATTTGGTTTTTCTATCGCCCCTACTAATGCTTCTGCCTGCAGTTGAGCTTTCTTAGTTAATAACCAACTTAAAGATGAACACAAAAGGCTGAGTGTTTTCCCCGTGCCTAAAATATTTATATTATTTAATCTCCATAATTCAATAAGCATTTCTGTATACAAAATTAATTTTATTGAAATGTACCAGTTGGAGATTCTAAAACACCATTTTTACTATTCTGAAGGCATTCTATCACCTTTGCCATATAATCTTCTTGAACAGAGTATGGTTTGAATGGAAAATTAATAATAACATTATTAATCGTCACTTCGGGCATTATGTTATCATAAACTTTACAAAGTTTATTAAAATCTTTTCTTATTATATACAGAGAAACTAGGCAATTAACATTAGCTTTGTCACCGACCACGAATTACCGCCAAATTTTAAGATCAACTATATTAATATTGACAGCTTCACATATTTACATATAATGTGAAATACATAAAATTAGTAAATTTTTAATAAGATAATCTTAAAACCAGATACCCTTTATATAAAATTCAATATAAATGTACAATAAAATACAAGAAAATAAGAATCCAGTTCTTCACAACAGTATGTAATTTTATTTGTATTATATGTTTTACACATTGACACTATGCATTAGTCAATTATCATTAAACCTGTTTTGAGTGGATCATTGGTAAGTGGTAAGAGTGTGACTGTAACAGAGAGAGATTAATTCATTGGCAGTCGATTGCAAAGTAACAAAGAATTAAGATTAGGTTAGTTGCGCATCGGTCAATTTAGCAACTGGCCGATTGAACGGCCAACTGAGCGGTAAGAGTAACTCCTTAAGTTTCTATTGGATTCGTATTTTTTTCCTAATTATATGTGCTTCTTTGCCGCAAGAGAGAGCCGTCGTTTCCCGCTTTTACAGAATTCGAATTAATAAATAGAAATCCTAGAATTGTGTTGTTTCAACTTAATATGTGTGCTGTTCTTAAGATCAGTAACCATTGGTTATTGACCTCAAAAATAGGCCTCGGTGTAACACTTGATATACCTTAAATTATTCGAAGTTAATACACACACAATTTCGATGTTATAATATATATTTATTTAAATAAACTTTAGTACCAATGGAACGTATTTGTCATATTTAATTCGTTACATATGTTGAATATAAAATCCGATGGGAGGAGCCAATAATTGCCATATCAAATGTGTATGTTTAACACAACATCGATGAATGTACGTGAATAATAAATGCCGAAACAATAGAATTTCTTTCTCATTATAGTTCCATTTATCTGTAAGATAAAAGGTCGTTGTCGCAAAGATATCTCTACTTACGTATGTATGTGATACATATTCGTCGTTCGTAATTCGTAAAATTGTAGAGTGCATTTATTCGTATGCGATTAACAGCATCGTTAATTGTATTTGTGTTTAGAATTATTACTGTGAGAAATTAAGTTATTTTTTAATTTTACTTTTCATTTGTACCCTTATAATTTTTTTTTTCAGTACCAAGTGAGAATTTACGGACAATTTAAATAAAAATGCGATTAGTAATCTGTGATACAGTAGATTATGTGGCAGAATGGTCTGCCAAATATGTTTTAAAAAGAATCAATGACTTTCAACCAAATGAAAATAAATATTTTGTTCTTGGTCTTCCAACAGGTATGTTTCACATTATTCATTGAAATTTATTATGAAGTTTTTAAAGTAAACCTTATTTGTTTTTATTTATTATTCAGGTGGTACACCTTTGGGAATGTATAGGAAACTTATAGAATATTGTAACGCGGGAAAACTTTCCTTTAAATATGTAAAAACATTCAACATGGATGAATATGTTGATCTACCTCGAGATCATCCAGAGTCTTACCATTATTATATGTATAATAATTTCTTTAAGCATATAGATATTGATCCATTGAATGTACATATTCTTGATGGCAATGCTCCAGATCTCGTAAAAGAATGTGATGATTTTGAACGAAAAATTAAGGAGGCTGGTGGTATTGAATTGTTTATTGGTGGTATGTAATTTATGGTAATTTGTAGATTGTAGTTATTTATTTCTATTGGAAAATTCTATAACATGGTGGACATTTTTTTTATTCAAAAAACTGATTTTCTATGCATAAACTTATTTTTCAGGTATTGGTCCAGATGGTCATATAGCTTTTAACGAACCAGGATCATCTTTATCATCTCGTACAAGAGTAAAAACATTAGCACAAGATACATTAGAAGCCAATGCAAGATTCTTTGGAAATGACATTTCTAAAGTTCCTAAACAAGCGTTAACTGTTGGTGTTGGCACAGTAATGGATGCTAAAGAAGTAATGATTCTTATTACAGGATCTCATAAAGCATTTGCTCTTTATAAGGCAATAGAAGAAGGTATTAATCATATGTGGACTGTATCAGCCTTCCAACAACATCCTCGAACAATAATTATCTGTGACGAAGATGCAACATTAGAGTTACGTGTGAAAACTGTTAAATACTTTAAGGTATTGGAAAATTTGTATGATAAAATAATGATATAAAGTTGGTCTTGTTGTTGGTAAGAATTAAAAATTTACAATATTATATTATTAAGTTACTTTTACAGTGTATCTATTTTACATTATAGGCTCTTAGCGCAGTGCATCACAAATTAATTGAAGCAGATGGGGATTCAATCATTCGCCAGAGAGTCCAAGAAAGTTAAAACAATAGTTACTCCTATTATCGAGTATTCTATACCCGTATTTTATAAATTTCTATTTTCCTTTTTACCCAATTGTAATATGTGGGAGTTCATTGGTACATAACATGTTCACCACATACTTCAACAAATGTTATTATACATGTAAATTTTATTTTTTATAAAATTCAAATAACATTTGTGCATGTTACTTAATGAACTACATTTTGACAACAATACTATATAATATATACATACGTACTTGTTTTAATGAAACATGAATTATTATATTGTTAAAACTTTTGTTCTTATACTGCAAAAATATCATATTTTTGTATCATTATACCTTGCCACAAATAAATGTTACTTAATACTCTTTTTATGTCATGTGCCTTTTATAATTCAATGAAAATGATCATTTGAAATTCATAGATCTCAAGTATAACAATTCTAGATCTCTAGATCGCATTGGTAATCGCTGAAAACCACCGAAAGAACTGTCATTCAACAAATTCGAGTAAAAGGAATCGTAGCGTGATTTTAACACGGTGCAGAAATGTAGGTGCCGTTCTCAAGGACGTCCAATCAACTTGAGAAATCTATCCTAGACACAGTTAGAGGATACGTCGGTGAAATTCGAACATCGTTGATGACTCATTCTGCTGGAGACGTTCAGTTCTCCAATGAATGGCTCGGCGTACAGAAACAAACGGACAAGTTAGGCGTCTAGTGTCGAACAAATACAAAGTGGCAACAGCGACGCTTTCAGTTGTGCAATTTTATAATCGTGCAATTAAATCGTGTGATACGAATTATTTGTTATTTGTACTCGTGCGTCGCTCGTCGCCTCAATGATTCTCGCCGTTCGGACCACGCGGCAGCGTGCTACGAACGGTAAGAATCATTTGAGGACGTGCACACATTAAAAGATCAATTGCCCCCTCAAAACGAGGACAAACCGAGCGGTAATAAGTAGGAGCGTCCGCCCGGAGAAACGATCATTACAGTCGTGTTCGTGTCGGATACACGAAACGATGACGGAATCTCCGAACACACGTTCAAATCATTGTCCCGTGGAAAGCGAACGTTTATACGTGTACCGGCTAATCTCGCGCATTAATACGTACTTTCATTGATAAGATCATCGATCACCAATTCTCATTGGTGTCCCTACTCATAAAATCGGAGCCGCGTGTATATTATTATTAAAACTGTGCTCCAAAAATCCATTCGCCGGTGGTTCCCAGTAAGCGGAGATCGGCTCTCGTATCAGTTTGTAACCGTAAACTGCCCGGCACTGTGCCAGACGTACTTTTCAACGCGCAATCATGAAAGGCACCGAGATGGGAGAGATGAAAGATATTGTGCTCCGCGAAATAGAGCCTCTGCTGCGGCAGAAACTTGGGAACGACGTGATCGTCGATAATTTCACGACGAAATCCCTGTTGCCGCCCGGTGAGAATTACGGGAGCACGATCCTGAAGGTTGACGTTGAGCTGAGAAAAGGGAAGGCAGGTAAAAAGGAGGAGATCCACCTGATCGGGAAGATGTTGCCGCCCACGGAATTTCAACGGCGCATCTTCGACACTCCCCGAACGTTCGCCAAAGAAATTTTCATGTACGAAACTATCGCGCCGGCCTACAACAAGATAGAACTCGAAGCTGGCCTAAAGATGAACGAGATATTCAATTTTATCCCGAAGTTCTACGGGTCCAGAATGTCCTTGCAACCGGACGTCGCAATGGACGACGATGCTGTTTTCCTGATGGAAAATTTGAAACTCAAGGGATACTACCACGGTGACAGGAGTATAGGTATCTTGATAATCTCACAGTCCCATCGAATTTATCAATCATTAGAATCATTCCACGGGGAACCTGTAATCCCCGTTTACGTAAGCTTCGTACTATTTATCTAGTTCTATTCGGATTAACTAGGCGGATGTAAATGTTAACGGTTGAGTAGCTCGTGTCAGTTTTCATCGGTAATCTTTTATCGTGAATCGACTTTGACCACCTTTATAAATATATGAGATAACTTGTTTCATATAGATTTTGTCCGTTTCACGACGGATTCGGTTCGTAATCTCGAAATTCTGGTTTCACGGTTAAATCGCCCCCTTCTCGATATTAATAGACGATACCGATATCTTCTTTCCCTACGAAGGCGACTGATGTTTCGACCGAACATTCCGAATGAATTGTCTTTATCAATTGTTCCATGCAGGATACGATCTGGAGCATTCGAGGATAGCCTTGAAAGCTTTGGCCAGGTTTCACGCTTTAGGGATAGCCGTCAAACAGAAGAAACCCGGCCTGTTCGAGGTGTTCAAGATGTACGCGAAGCAGGTGATACTCGAGAACGACCCCAACAAGGACGTGTTCCTGCTGATATCGAAGTCGATCAAGAACGACCCCGAAATCAGCATGTATCACGACAGATGCGACAAGGTCTTGAGAGAAATCGGGGTGAACGGAGTTTGGACGGACGTCCCTCGGGAGCCTTGGTCGTCGATCGTCCACTCGGACTTCTGGGTGAACAACGTGCTGTTCCATCGTGACGACAAAGGGCAAATCGACGATGTGAAAATGATCGATTTCCAAATGTACATTTACTCCAGCCCGTTGCGCGATTTACACCTGTATCTATTTACGAGCGTCGGGATCGACGTGACGGACGAACAACTCGTAGGCCTTATGGATTTGTATTACGACACGATTATAGAGAAATTGACCCAATTAGGCTGCAACACGAAAGATTACACTAAGGAGAGTTTCTGGGAGAAAATGAAGGAGGACGCGCCTCGTGAATTCGTGCACATAATATTTATGATCAAAGTTCTCACGCTAGACGTGAAGGAGTCGGGTCTCACTCTTAACAAAATGGACTCGGTCCTAATAGATTACGAAGGTAGTAAAATGTACACCGATCGACTACGTAAAACTGTAAACTTCTACTGCAAACGCGGCTGGGTACCTCCGCTGAACGAGACATCCTGAAGGAGTGTATTTTAAATGAACTCTTCGTATGAACGTTTCGCAAATTAATTGGAGTTTCGTCGGAGAAAGAAACGGTATTTTTATAATGAATAAACAGATATCTAAATGGGTATGTATTTTTATATAATCGCAGTCCTTATTGTTTTTCTTTTTTCAATAAAAATCGTGTAAACACTTCGTCGTTGTTATCTTGTTAAGAAGAATGTATAATAAATGATATACAACGACACAAAACGATATCATTCCTTATCAATCAAATTAATCGCCGTTCGAGTTTATCTTGAAATATTTATCTGATGGTATTATTCATTTAATTTAGACGAGTATGCTCGTTGATATACGACAGAACTCGTGGGTTGCGAACTTGAGGTAATAAAAAAGCTTCAGCATAATAATTATTGAGTCATACAGTGTATATGCTAATTTCGTTATCATTCGTCGGAGAAGTTTCGAATTTATTTTCATTTTTGCAATATTTTGAATTAACGTAAAAAGGAGGAACGAAGAATCTGAATTGCATAATCTAATAACGTTGTTTCCTTTATTGAACTAATATAAAATTGACAATGAATGTGATTCATTGGATCTGTGAAACCGGTTGGAACGGGGAAATTTAAAGGTAAAACGAAAGTCATGATGATTCATGAACGGATTCCGTCACTGTTGTCTTCGAGTACGTCTAAAATATGAGAAGTAAAGAGCAAACAACATATTTGTAACGTTAACAACGTTAATAAAATTAAGATGAACCGTACTCGTGTTACATTTCGTGTTTATCAACGCAAATACTCGAAACCGTGAGTAAGCGTGTGCAATATTTGGAATTACATAACTGTTCATTTGCGTGATGTAATAATTATTCTTTTTGTGCGCTTTAAATCATGTCCCGTGAATATTGTTCACGAAATCATAGCTTAAATTAAAGCCCAAGGAATCTGCTTTACGACGCGAAGATAATGATGAGAGGAAGATACGGTTCGTGACGTAGATGTAATTCAGATCATGGTCAATCATGTGACTGATTCCTTTCACATTTGGCGCCATCCCTGGGGGAACAATAAAGCTTGCATTTACAGACGCAGATTTAAGATAAGTAATACAAATACATTACGCATCGATCCATAATTTTCTTACTTTTCCTCTTTTCTGTTTCACGGTTTTACATGTTTATCTTTTTCTTACAGAACGTCTGCCAAAAATGATAATTAATAACTTACTACGTATAAATTATGTGTAAGATCATAATGAGAGAATTAGAAAGCCTATGTTCTTAATTGTTTGTAATGTACATAAACATGTGTTACACTTGACAGAATTAATATTAAAATTACTATTTAGAGACTATGATATAATAGAAACTTTTACCATAATGATAAACATTACTATGATACTGATAGTTTAATGCTGCCGTAGTTAACTTACGTTTGTGTAAAGTCGGCTGTGAGTAGCTAGGGACATTACGTACGTGTGACAGTGGCCCGCAGGGTGATGGTTATTTTTAAAGAGCATAATCGAGTGTTTTCCCTATGTTTTAATTAGTAAGACTAGGACGAAGCGACTGTGCTACAAGGAGACAGAAACTTCCTCGAGGAACCCCTGAAAACTTCTTGAGAAATCCCTCAAAAACTCTGGAGAAACTCCTCAAACCCCCTCAAGAAACTTCTTGTATTCCCTCGAAAAACCCCCGGAATTCTCTCGAGAAATCCCTCGAACCCGCTCAAGAAACCCCTCGAATCCCCTTAAGAAACCCCTCAAACTCCCTCGAGAAACTCTGGAAATCTCTCGAGAAACCCCTC